AAACTGAGTACTTGAGTACCTATTTACACCCCTACATCATGCAAAAAGAACGGTTTGCTCGATCTGCACATCTGTCAAACAGCCTTTTCCTGTCAAAGTGTGTGGTTCATTGCCAAGTAATAAAACACATCAGACTCTTTGGCAAAAAGGAAGAAGTACAGAAGTAATTAAGAAATGTAGTCTGGCTTGCGAGACTATACTCTTAAGGACTCTCCCTGTTGTGTGTGCAATAGTGCGGCTGTCAGGCAGGGAGGCTGAAATTCCTCAGTATAAACTAATGCAACATTTGGATAGCCACTGGGCTGAGACTAACTCTGCTGTTTGTGAAGGCTCTTTGTTTTGGGCCTTTGTCCTGGTTCAGTCAGGTGAGCCTATCTTTCAGCCCCATGGCAAAAACATTAACACCACAATACTCTGCGCCAAACTGCATCCCCTCAGCTCAAACAGCACCCCGGGGGCCCTTGCATGGTGTGGCTGAGCTTCTCATGGACCGCTGACCGTGTTGCATGAGGAAGGCAAGAATGAGACAAATAAAAGAATCATAAATTATGCATGGAGGATGCCTGACTGAGTATGATTATTAGAAAGAGCTAATGGAGTGATATTTTGCAAAGGACACAGTCTATGTAAATCAGAGGCAGCGCTGATGGGAGGACCAATAAGTGTGTGCCGAAGTCTTGCCAAAGGGAAATGTTGGAAAAAAAAGGCAGATATGTGTAAAAAAAGAGAAAGGAAATAAAACTGTTTTGATGACTCATCCACCCACTCAGACAAAGTCGCTTTTTCAGATATAAAAGACATACAGACAGCTGAATCGCTGGGGCAGTGACTTGTGAATTTTCACTCTTCTCTTGCTCTCGGAAATGGCACTGATGTCTAGTTTGTCGTTTCACTCTGAGCCATGAGTGTGTATTCTACAAATTCACTACGCACTTGACAGCGATGTGACGGAAACAAAATATTTGTGTGTCGTACAACTAGCTTGGGGTAATCTGCGCACGCGGAGGGACACGCTGAATACACTGAACATGGTAAATAGGATGGAGCTTATCAGTCCATGTAATTGCTGAAGCTCGTGGTTTAGCCAGTGAAGTGTGCACAGTGTTGAAACAAGCACGCTAATGAGCATGTGGCTTCCCTACTTTCTCTGGTTGTTCTCTCAGAGTGCCGTATAGACTCCCTATGCATAGATAATGCATACACTGCAGGGCTGTGAAATACACTGTTTCTCTACCGGTATCAGTGGGTATAATATTAAAGCGATAGACAAACTTTAGGCAACACATCACACATCACACTAAACGGGCAGACTCAAGAAACTAACACTTACTGCGCTTCCCTTTGGAGGAGAAAATCCACCAGGTTTGATTCCTCCTAATTAGCTTATGTGAACACTTGCAATGTTAGCAAATTCCTTGAATGCCACAAGTAGCAAGCAAAGAAGTTGTATACATCTTTTACATCAAAGTAAACTACTCACCAAGTTATGGTGGTGAGGGGTACTCTGAGGTGTGTGTGGGGTCTGTTTCTCAAGGTTTTTTATCAAACGTCTGACAATGTACAGAATGGTACATGCGCCAGTGAATTAATATTTATCTGCGAGCTGAATATTTTTTGAATCGGAAATGTGAACAAAACTGTCCTACTGTACAGCCCATTTTCAAATTCAGGTATACCGTAAGTTAAATTTTACCCACTTTTGTGATAGGTTTCCTAGTGACACATGATGAGCGGTTAAAAATTGTATAAACAATATAAAACAGTATAAAATTTTTGCATTAATGTTGCAGCATGCTGAAAAATGCTAGTCCTCTAACAATTCAGAATTCTTTATCTGTGCGCTGTGATCATCCAGATCCATTTAAAATGTTCCCAATGAGTGCTCTCTTGGTGTTTTGACTAATTAAGGCATTAATGAGAACAAACATACATGCATTCTGATTAAAATATTGCAGGTCAATCTTAAACCAAGTCTCATTTGTAATTTATCGCTAAACTGCCATCTGTAGCAACATATTTGCAATCTGATATTCTTTATATATCTGTGCATATCATCCAGCCGTAATATACTGCTTTGATCTTTATATACCATAGCTCAGCATGGATCCCGAACTACTGTAATCATTTGCTTTCTGTGTCATTTCAGGGTTACGGATTAATTCTCACAGCAGCAACACACTTTGTAGTAGAATGAATCACTGGCATAATGTTATGACATTTCGAAAAGAGGGATTATGATCTGAGACAACTGCTAACAGTCACACATACATGACACAGGCAGCTGGCAGCAGTACAGGATGAAGTGGCTGTAACGGGGTGTGAGAGGCTGACCCGACACTGACCCCTCTTTAGAAGATGGAGTAGTTGACAGCACTGGCGAATCAGTGCACACTAGCGAGAACAGCCCCACTGGGCAGGGTGAGGTCAGGAAGTGCCTCTGTGGAACTCACTGACTGCGCAGTCTCCTGCCACTGACTCTGAAGGCTTAGAGCAGAAAGTCAGCACATTGCAGCAGCCAAGCTGGTCTGAAACCAAGATTCTACCAGACTTTCGTGCAGCGATGCATGTGGGTTATGTTGCTTCACCACCAAATGCCAGAACCATACAAAACGGTCTGCACAGAGTTGCAAGTCTGTACAATGTTTTCTAGGTGCGAAGTACCTTATGGACCTGGCTTATGACTTCTTATGATTTTCACACCACCTTATTTGGTGCGGACCTATCACACTTTCATATCGGTCTGTGTTGACAGATGAAAACACTCAATACATCGAGACCGTACCAAACAACCGAACCATGGACCGCCCAAAAACACGGTTCTAGATTTGCTTCCAAGTAAATTCTGGTTCCGTTCACTGCTGTTGAGAACACATTTTTACTATGGTCCACACCGAATGACAGAATTCTACATAACAGTATGCTTTACTCTTGTTCTAGCAGGACATCACTGCTGTATGTTCCTCATAATCTGCCTGTTTTAACATTTGACTCTTGACAGACATTATTTTTGCAGCTCGAGCTGCTGCTAATAAGGTCAGACAAGCAATGAAATAAAAGCGAAGCAATGCGTTTAATTTTGGCATATGGATCATGGGACATATCTTTTGCCAAGCATCACAGATCTGATTGGTTCAATTCAAACTGACAAACATAAAGAAACAGATATTAAGTATGTCTTTTTTTTTATTATTGCTTTGACTGTGATGTCCGTAGATGTTGTCTCTGTTTTCTATTTTTTTATTTTTATGATGGCAAATTAGAGAGCAACAGAAAACCTGAATCCCTGCACAATCTCATGAATGCTTGTGTGTTAGCAGCCCTAAATTTCATAGATGTAAAGAAAAAAGGCTTGAAACTGCGCTACGTAAGCATGTGAACGCAGGGCACATTAGATGCAGCTTCTGTAACAACTGTTTACTTATATATGGAGATAGCACCGATCCAACACCAGGTATCAGTACCAGGCCAATATCAGCAGGAAATGCTGGATCCGATATCAGTTTTTTTTTGGAAATGCCATCTTCCGTTTATATTGTGTCAAAATTTCATGTTGCATGGCCCAACTGAAATGGTCCAATGCAACTTGAAGATACAAAGCTTTGTTCAGCTACGAAATCTAGCATGAAATAGCACTGTGTGATTCTTGGTGTGGGGTAGAAGAGGGTTTGAGTAGTTTGCAGATGACAGTCTACAAAATGAGATGTTTCAATTAAAAGTAGCTTATTTTGAAGCACACTAGTTTTTAAAGAGAAGAAAATATTGGATCCATATCAGCCTGTATTCAAGGTGTCAGTATCGGTATCTTGTACCAGAAAAGTGGTATTGATACTGATAAAGGAAAAGTTCACTCGATCAGATTAAATACTCTGACAATTAGGAAGGTACATGTAGCAGTTGGTTCATTGTAAATGATGACACCACTCCACGCAGTAGACAAAAGTTAGATTCCCCGCTATATCACTAAAAGTCCTTGAGTAAGACTCCTAATTTTGCATTCGTCTGGCTTCATCTCTCTGGATAAGAGTGTGTGTCAAATGCACAAATGTAAATGTATAAAAGTGGAAAAACAACCAATAAAATGTATGGTTCTCTGAAATGGAAATACTTTATCTGTAAGAAGCAGACTATGACCTTTGAGGAAGAATATAAATTACTGTAGAGTATTTACACTTCACTGCTAAGAAAACTGAAAATTACTATCTGTAGCTGCCCTCTACATACAAGATTTTATTTATACATCGTAAAAGGTCATTGCAAACGTTATATGCCAATTAACTCTTTATCAAGAAATGTATAACGTACTAAAGCAAACACTGAACGCACATGAAAGCTCCACTCTATGTGATACAAAACCAGATGACTATTTGTGGTTTTCTACTAAAAATAAGTGGATAGACTGGATTTATTACATTTACAAAAAATAGGTTTGTTGCATCCAAATAAAAAAGGGTAAATAACCATGCTGAAACACAAAACGATAAGGAATGATGGAGAAGAACAAGGTGACAAAGACGCAACGTGATGCTCTGCAGAAAAAGGACAAATTCATCACATAATCCAGGTCATCCCTTACTCTTTAGGAACCTCCACTGGCACAGCCTACAGTATGACACTGTCCCTCATAATCTACTGACTCTAATCTACTAACATTAATAAATTCATCAAAGCAACTCTGGAAGAACTGAAGAACCATTAGGAATCTAGCGTCCTTGAACATGATAATGACACACTAGACGACTCACGGATTCAAATCTACACTCCAATCTACAAACCACTCCTTAATTGGTCTTATTTTTCTCTACACTAAATCTCATTAGATTCACATGAAATTTTCTGTGGAGTAACTTATCTTTTTGGAGCCACATAATAAATCTCATTCATGCAGTGCTATCTACTCTGCTCTAGTGCTGTATCTGTTCTGTCATTGCTTTCTGAATAGAGAGGAGAAAAGCAGAGACTGTGCAGATGAAAAGGAGAATGTAAAATAAATGCTGGATTACTTTGTCATTCTTTGTTCGGCTTGATTTTGATTCCAGACAAGGAATTCAGGGTCGTACCTATCAGGAGACAGGCAGAGAGAGAAAGAGAGAGAGAAAGGGTAGGTGGCTGGCACAAAGGGGTTTGACATTTTAAAAAAGAATGTATTGATTTTAACTTTCTTTTTTTTCCCGCACAGCGGAAACACATTACACACTTGCATTTGGCTTTAGACATGCACTCAGGTTTCTTGTTGGTGTTTATTAAATAGGGGTCTCACAGAAGTTTTCATCTATACAGTGCTAAAGGAAGTCTGGGGGTTGCTTCATGGGAACCTCCTTTGCTGAATGACAGCATGCATGCCAGATTTGAAAGTGTGACCTACCTAAATGCCTACAACATTTGTTCAGTCTTGCTAAAAAAAGAAAAAAAAAAAGTACTAGTTCTAGTAGTTACATTCTGCCTTTTAAAGTAAAATGCAGGACTGCCCAGTCCTTTTGTAATTTGTTACTGTTAGTGAGCTGTAAATTAAGTGGCCTCAATTTCAAATAACCCAAAATATATAAATGATATGTATACACATAGATCTATATGTGCACTAATGATGCGCTAACACTATGGAATATATCCAGTTTCGTGTCAGACCCACTTTTTAATACACCAAAATCTCTGAAACGAATAAAAATACAAATGTTTACTAAAACAGTATCAAAATGACTGTGCATGTTGTGGATTTGGCTGCAGCCAGCAAATGCAGTGCATCACACATCATTTGGTTCTCATTCCACTGGCAGTGTGCACAAACGAGAGAGAAACTAAAACATGAGGGGTAAACGAAAAGGGATGACAAGAAATCAACAAAACAAACAAGGTCAACGCAAAACAATAAAAAGGAATCACACAGCCCTAGTAAAGCTTGCAATCTACGACATTAAAGTTCATCTGTGGCCTCTTAGCTCTTCCAATAGTAGTATAAAGAGGCCATAAACAAAGTGATACATATACAACTGACTATCTCTCAGTCAAGTCATGCTTGGTAACACTCAATTTTAATGTATGCACTGTGCAATGTGAAGTTTGGAGACAGGAATTTGGGCAGCGTAAGTGACCTCAAGGCAGACTGAAAGTGAGGGAACTGGTGAGCGCGCTCTAACTCATGCTATCCAGTGCTTTCATTAACTCTATGTGCACGTGCAACTCCTATCGCTCAGCTAATCACCCACTGGGGCCGCCTGACTGATAGCTGCGCACCAGCTCTCCCAGGCAGAGGTGACATTGTTAGCTGACGGAGCTGGTCAGTGTCTGCATGTCAAACAGCGATGCCGCTCACCTGGGGTCCTTCTGGATGCTGTCCACAGAGGGTGACCTGACCAGTGTGGCCTCGGGCGGCAGCGCGGGGCCCGACTTGCTGTAGGGCGAGTCCGCTGAGGGGCAGAACTGCAGAGTGCGGTACGGGTTGGCATAGTCGGCTGCAGAAACACCAGGTCCAGCGGCGTAGCCAGAGCGAGGGAAGGTCCCTGTGGCATTCTGGCTGCTCGTGCGCTGCAAGGGGATGGGGTCAACACCGGGGGAGGATGGGGCTAGGATGGGAGAGTAGGGACAGAACAGAAAGTTCAGGACCTGCTCACAGAAGTGGTTCGTTGGATCTTTAGGGTGTAGCAAAGGAGTGAATACAACATGTATGTCCACATACACACACATATATATGTACAGTGTAGAAGGATTTGGGCAAGAGCCAAACACGAGCATGATGAAGAGAGGAGAAAACAAGAAGAAGAAGACAGGGAGAGTCAAGCAAAGCCAGGTAGGCTGTATGGGTGCAAAATACAGTCACACTGCTACATATCGCAATTGCAATATACAATTTATGGCCAAAAGTATGTGGCCCATCCTCCAAACTACTGAGTTTAGGTGTTGCAGTCACACTCATTGCTAACAGGTGTATAAAATCAAGCACATCACTGTGTAACCCCCACAGACAAACACTGACGGCAGAATGGGTCATGCTGAGCCCAGTAACTTTAAAAGTGGCGCTGTTATAGGATGCTGCTTTTGCCCCAAGTCAATTCATGAAATTCCTGCCCTGTGCTATTCTTGTGAGAGGGAAAGCTCTATGAGCAACAACAGCTGAACCACAATGTGGTAGACCATACAAATTCACAGAGTGGGGCCACCAAGTGCTGAAACACACAGAAATCACTGTTCCAAACTGCCTTTGGAAGCAACATCAGCACAAGAACTGTGCGTTGGGAGCTTTATGAAGTGGGCTTTCATTGCCGAGCCACTGCACACCAGCCTAAGATCACTATACGCAATGCAAAGCGTCAGCTGGAGTGGTGTGAAGCATGCCAGCAATGGACAATAATGCAGTAGAAACGTGTTCTATTTGGCAGTCTGATGAATGAATCTGGATTTGGCAGATGCCAGGAGAATGCCACTTACCGGAATGTATAGTGCCAACAGTAAAGTTTGGTGGAAGAGGGATAATGGTCTGGGGCTGTTTTTCAGGGTTTGGGCTTGGCCTTTTAGTTCCAGTGAAAGGTCACGTTAAAGCTACAGTATACAGAGACATTTAGACAATTATATGCTTCCAAGTTTGTGACAAAAGTTTAGGGAAGGCCCCTTCCTGTTCCAGCATGACTGTGCCCCTTTGCACAAAGTTAGGTCCATAAACACATGGTTTACAAGTTTAGTGAGGAGGAACTCCACTGGCCTATGCAAAGCCCAGGACTCATCTGAATGGCTGGAGATGGTCAGGACACACATTGTAGCCTTCAATAATATAAATACAGCACAGACCAATTTTGCAATTACATTTAGCAAACAATACATGCCGCAACCCTAGTAGGCCATGCACAACGCTTGCTATGCAAACCTTGTTTATATTAAGGACAATGTTTACAGATTTATATATTTATATTACATTTATACTGCCGATGCCCAGGCTTGATCTGGGCATCAGCAATGCAGATTCTGTTTGCCCTGTTTCTTTGTCTGGACTTGACTTGCTTCCCAAACCCCATCACGTCGTGCTATTCATCCTGATTGCAGAGCTTTCCAGCTGAGCTGAGCTCTAAAAAGCAGAGCCGCGCTTCAACCACTCGCAGTTAATGTGACAAGCTGGATCTGAGACAAATGTCTGCCAGCGAGGCCTCTCTCCAAACCACTTTGAACATACATTTCAGTTCAGTTGGGCTGAAAGTGCAATCTTAAATGGGCCTATCCATTCACTCTGTGTTGGTCAGCCAGATCATAAATGTCCTCTGTTGTGTGTTTTAGGGTAAATGCAAATTTAGGGGCTAAATGAGACTAGACATTCAACTGCATAGATGCAAAAAAAATGTTTAAGCTTAAAAGGTAATTTAAGGTAATTATTCTGAGTAACTTCATGGTACGTTCCAGGAATAAATTACACACAAATGCTCAATAGGTATAAACTGGTTAAACATGTGGTACAATCTTCAAAGCACTGTGTAATTATTTTGGGTAAAATGAAAAGTCAGTAAGCAGACAATCTAACAATCTTGTCTTGTCTACTGAAATGTCCAACAGGTCGTAGCTTTTAAGGTGAAATAAAACGTAGTAACATACCACATAAACTGGTGGAATAACAAGATGTTAAGTACAAACAATTTCACACAAAATTTCATAGTAAAAGCACACATTTAAATGAGAAAGTAAATCATAAGTAGTTTAATCATAAATAGTAAGGACCCAGTAAAGTCACAGTAAGAATAACTGCTTTCCTTTACAGCCTAGATTCAGTCTAGGTTCTAGGTAAAAGACAGGAACATGCTATGTCTTCAAATGTCTTTATACCTTTTAACTGATACCCCATATAATTAGCTGGTACAGGGTCAAAATAGTTCATAATTAAAATGTGTCTGGCTCCTACAGTGCCAAGCCAATATGGCCACCAACATTCCAATTAAGAAAATAAGGCTTATAAATGAGATCTTTTAATAAAACCACATAATTCCTATTCTCTACATAATGTTAATATACAAAACTACATTCATGAAAGATATACACTTCTAACCACATAAAAACAGTAACATAAAACATGAAATCGCTCATACAGGACAGCTTACCTAGAAAAAGAGCTTCCCTCAGTTTGCTTTTTTGGCAAGAATTGGGTGGATTGTTGGTTGACATATTTTGTTTATGTGCAACTACCTGACTCATTTAATCATGTAAATTCAAAGCATAATTTTTTTTCAATGTACTTTTAGATTTGTACTTTTCTGCTTATACATGTGACATTACAGTAAAATTTGGCCTTGTTATTTACTATTGTTGTACCCAAAATAGTAACACAGCACTCTGGAGTTTGTATGACACACTTGCTCAGTTAATGCCTAGAACTTGTTGGGCATTTCACTGTAATTTAGTTAGACTGTTTTGATTAACAAGCTACCCAAACAATAACCTAGCACTTCAGTGTTTGTACCTGCTACTTACCTAATTAATACCTAGAACTAAAGAGACTGTGAAAGAAAGCCTTAGCCAAAAAATAGTGACTTCTGTTAAATGACATAATATGGATAAATGTTTAGATATAACAAAACTGATGTGGAAGAACGGAGTAATTATTAGAAAACATGCAGTTACAATAACACACTTTGCCCAGAGACTGCAACTGAAAACATCTGATACCATCTGCTGATGTTAATGATGTCTGTTTGTTTATGGCTGCTAATCAGGCCCCAGGGTGTAAAAATGATCTATTTAAAAAACTAAAACCTAGTGCTGAGTTCATCTAATGAACTTGAAATTGTGTGAAGCATAAAATCAACCACAACTGTCTGTAATGAGTGAAGAGGGAGTCTGGTGAGTGCTGTCTTACCCTGGCCCTGGCTGAAGTTTCTCAGTGGGGCTTTTTGATAGACTCTGTCCTCATAGATAGGGTCGATGTGGTGCTCGGGGGACTGGAGGGGACGCAGTTCTCCACCCAGGTGGCTGTGCTGGCTGCTGTAAGAGCCCCTGGAGCCTAGTCATAAAACATACATTCCTCCATGCATCAAGTTATTATCATACAGGAGATAAAAAAACATCACCCATAAGTGGATAAACAGCAACAATGTGTGAAAAATGTAATGCTATCTTTCAAGGAATGGTTTCACAAACATCAAATTAAACAATTTTCGCCTCAAATGCAGCTGGTCAGTTCGGTGTCCTACCAATTAGCATTGTGCAAATTGCATGCCTAAATGATCATATGCTTGTCTCAAACCACAGTGAGTTGTTAAGTAATCTCCAACCCCATTTCCAAAGAAGTTGGGACGCTGTGCAAAATGTGAATAAAAACAATGTAATAATGTGCAAACCCTATATTTAATTAAAGTAGTACTAAGACAGCATGTTGAAACTGAGAAATTATATTGTTTTTTGAAAAATACATGCCCATTTTGAATTTAATGCCAGAGACATGTTTTAGTAACCATCGTTTGGGTTGTGAAATGTTGTCCCATTCTTGCTTGATATAGGATTTCAGCTGCTCAACAGTTCATAATGCGCTGAATGTTTTCAGTGAGTAACTTACAGTTTTTTACTATGAAGCAATGGTGTTGTAATGCATGCAGAATGTGGTTTGGCACAGTCTTGCTGAAATAAGCAAGTCCTTCCCTGAAAAAACATCATCTGGATGGCAGCATGTTGCTCCAAAACCTGTATATATTCAGCAATAATGGTGCCTGCATAGATGTGCAAGTCACTCATGCCATGTGCAATAATAATCCCCCATACCATCATGAATGCTTGCTTTTGAACTGGGCACTGATAACAAGCCGGATGGTGCCTCTCTTTTTTAGCCTAGAGAATGCAGCATCCATGATATCCAAAAAAAAGTCAATTTTTGATTATCAGACCACAGGACACCTTTCCCCTTTGCCTCAGTCAATCTTAAATGAGCTCGGGCCCAGAGAAGGCGGCGGTGTTTCTGGATCCTGTTTATATATGGTTTCTTTGCATGATAGTGTTTTTCGTGGATGCAGTTACAAGCCATTCACAAAGTGGTGAATGCTAAAGAAGTTAACTTTAACCAGTAAATGTTTTGGCTAATTGACTACAATTGGGGTAAGGGGAGAATTATTTTTTTTTGAAATATCATTTTAACTACTTAACTTTCTCTTGACTAGCATAGTTTAAAAATTCTTGAATAGTGGGTTAAAAATGTATAAATTAGATTTTTCGCCAAACTATTTAGTTTTGCAATTGCAGTATACATATATTTTGAGCTTGCTTTTAATGTTTCACTATTTGACTGTTAACTTATCCAACAATGACAGATGGTACACATCATATCTATGATGCACCATTTACACCTGCATAAATATATCCACCCGCTGATGTACTGTAATTACACATAAAACATATCTACAAGTGCTCAATTATATAGTGTTATATATCCACAGGAATGATATACCATACTACACTGTACAAAACCACTATATTGTCGCTGCTGGAATAAAGCCTCATATGTCCAAAAAAGTAACTTTACAGGTGAAGCAAAAAAACGTTCTTATCTTTCAATGTAAGCTAATGTAACAGGATTTTATGGTAAGTCATTTTACATAGTACACTGCAGAATTCACATCGTGTATGATGTGTTTGTTCTTCTTTGTTACAGTGCAATGAACGCACCTGCCAGGCTGCCGGGTCTCTGCAGCGTAGCGTTGGCATACAGGTCGTGGGAAATCTTGTACTGATCGGAGGAGTGTAGCATACGCTTAGTGGGCGACAGCGTAGCATAGCTGCCCACAGCTGAACTGAGCTGGTGGAGGGGGGAGGAGCTGGAGGCATTGCCCTGGCCGGACACAGTGTGCAGTGGTGAAGAGGCAGAGCCCCCTCCAGCCGCCATGTTGATGGGCGAGCTGGTGCTGTAGGACTTGGCTAGGCGGCTAGGTGACTGTTTGGGTGAGGACACACGCTGTAGGGTGGCATAGCTAGGCATGTCTGAGGCCGAGCCCAGCCTCTGCAGTTTGGAGGGAGAGCCCAGGGCCTGCATGGAGAGAGGGGAGCTCACACGCTGGGCTGGCAGCGTGGCACACGAGTAGTAGATGGAGGTGGCGGGCTGAACGTCAGGCAGGTGGAAGGCGCTACCATGGCTCTGGGCAAAGGAGTCTCGGGACTGGGAATCGCCACCCGCCAGCTGGGCAGCACGGTTGGATGTCACCTGGAAGGGGTCAATGAGGAGAAAAGGTTAATGTGGCAGCTCTCAGTTCCAATTCTGAATTTTGATGAGGAAACAATAGGTTGAAAAGAAACATTGGCAAAAAAAAATCAAGGTTACACAATTTTGCCTTTACCCCAAATGTAAAGCCAAAACATGTTTGATATCCAAGGCTTGCTTCTTAAGTTTTGAACTGGAGCTTTCGTAGCGAACAAGTAACAGGTAAGCTTAACCCTTGTGTGGTGTTCGGGTCTGTGGGACCCATTTTCAATGTTTACCAAAAGAAAAAATGATGCAATTTATTGTAAATTCAACCTCAGATTCCTTGGCCTTTGCTCATTTTCTGTGAAGAACATATAAAATAACACATTTTCAATGATTTCACACTGTACACCCCCTTCACATTTATTTTACACATGTGGTGTTCAGGTGAACCCGCAGGGAATAAAAGTGTGGAGGTGCTGTGTCCCTTCACTCTGTTCTCCTCCTACATGGCCTGCTGTTAGTGTGTGTGTGTGTGTGTGTGTCTGTGTGTGTATGTGTTTGTATATGTGTCTGTGTGTGTGTGAGGGAGGAAAACATGGACAGGTTGCTGACTGGTTGGAGCTGCTCAAGGAGAACCCTACGCTGGCCACTCATGACATTTTAAACATCTGGTATTTTTACATAAATTGTTATGGCTGTATTGATTTAAAAAAAAACAATAATGCAGTGGGTTTACCAGTCCCACTGAGTAACAAAAACACGAACACCACACAAAGCTTTAACCTCACCAATTACCACCGTGTAAATTGTGTGCCTTAATCATCACACGCTTATCACAAACTGTTTCAAGTCTTTACGGGTTCTTAAAGCTTCGCAGAGTAGGAGTTCTGGTCTAGGATCTGTTCCTGTCAAAGTCACAGTAAATAAGAGAGGAATCTGGTCCTAGATCAGCACTCCTAAGAAGTTTTGTGAATATGAGCTTTGGTTTCTAAATCAATATGAAAAACTGTTAATTATAAAAATGGACAAAATTACATTGTATAGGTAAAACCAGTGGTAGCAGTCTTCTTGAAGCCTGATTTTTGACTGTAGCTCCAGTTCAAAACTAAAGAAGCAAGTTTTGGACGCCTAACATGCCAAAGTCGATTGACTACATTTGGGTTAATGAGAAAATTATGTGAATCAGATTTTTCGCTTAAATCTTACTTAAACAAAACTTCCCCTTGACTAACATAATAGAAAAAAAATACTGGATTTCAGCTGTTCTATCAGCAGCTGAGCCCTACCTGATTATAGCTGTGCACAGCTCCTCCCACCTGTCCACCGCGTGGAGGGGGCTGGGAGGCTGACAGGTCGCCCAGGGCCAGGGTCTGGTTGCTATGGTAACCAGCAGAATAGGGGAAGGTGCCCTCCTGATTATTGAGCTGCAGAGCACTCTGAGACAGGATGCCTGGTCCTGGGTAAGAAGAGACAAACATGCGTGATACCAGTGACCTCTCTCCATGGGGCCACTATAACACAGTGTTTTCTTTCTCTCCTTGTTTCTCTCCCACAATGTTTGCTTGTTTTCTTGCTTGTTTTCCCTCAATCACTAAACTTCAGCCTTCTTCCTCTTCCCCATGCATTCCTCTGCTCTCTCTCTCTCTGCCCTCTCTTTACCGGGCTCGGCGAGTGGAGATGGATGGAGTGGGCATGTATAATTAATCAGGGCTGGAGGAGTCAGCGAGCTCATACGCTGAAGAATGGGACCAGCAGGAGCAGAAATCATGTTCCCCTGTCCGCCCCTTTCTCTTCTTCCTCTCAGCAGCCTCTACAGCTCCCTCTCTCCACACAACAAGCAAACCGACACCGAACAAGATGAGAAACGCTAGGACAGCTTTGGGAGCTCACGCTGATTCCGCGACACAAATTCTAGTCGAAATCCCACAAAAATCCTCTGCTCTGATGAACCTGCCAATAAACGCTTCCCAAGCGATAGGTGCCAATCAACACCGTGCTGTGTGTTTTTACCAAAATGGCCGAATCGACAGAGCCGACAAAGGCTGGCCAACGAAGATCTATATCCTTCACAACAAATAGGCTAAAACTGAGAGACACCCCTATTTTAGCTGCCTTCACACCTGTGTGTCTACTGCCGTTTTGGAGCAGGAAGTCACAAAAGTCGATACATGTTCACAATCAACAAAAACAGGCCACATGAACTCAGTAACCCAATAAACACAGAACAGTGCTCTTTCAAACCCACTGAAAATGACAACTAGGTCATTTCAAGCTGACCCAGTAATATCAAGAACAGGACAACTGAAGCTTTTTGAAAATGGCTCTGGTTTACTATTAAAGCCACTTTCGATACGATAAAGTTCATGCACTGGAGCTTCTGCAGAGCATGGTTCGGGTTTCATAAATGTGTAATCATTCTTAGGCTGCGTCCTCAGCCATCTTAGAGTCCATTTGTGCCGTGTTCTGCTGTCATGCAGAATGGCGGTTGAGCAGGCAGCATTCGTCCAGGTGGCTGGTTTCAGAATATACCTTATCTCTGCCTCATCTTTGTGGGGTTTTATCTCTGTGCTCCCTGACCTGCATTTCAGATATAGCCTCTCAATATTTCATCAGCCTACTATTTTACCAGACGAGCAGAGAGAGAGTGAGAGAGAGAGAGAGAGAGAACTACTACAGCAGTGCACACACTTACTGCCGGTGGGCTCTGAAAAGTAAACACAGGGGTGGGGAGTTAGGGGGAAAGATCACCCTTCTATCTAAGCATATTACTCGATACATAAAAGCACATAAACTTCTAAGCGCATTCTGTGCTAAACCTTTTCTTTTGTATAACCATTGCTGTCTTATCAAAACCTTGTTACTCTTTTTCGTTTTTTATTTTCCACACCATTTGAAACAACAGCTTTCCTTTACTTTGCATATACAGTTTTATAACGAATGGAACAATAGAAATGGTCCACAGTTAAGTTCGCAGTTTACTAAACAGCAAAACAAAATTGGCACATATGTGTATGTTCATCACTGTTAAAATATGATGTATAGACCAAATGGAAATGTTTTGTTTTTTATAAAAACATGACAAAGAGGTAAAATCCCTCTACTCGTAGTGCTATACTATACAAAATAAGACAACCATTTTTTTTTCTCTTGAATAACGTCGCACTCTAATGTTGGAAAGGCTGAATGACATATTTGAGTAAGTTAGATCTTTTGCTAGCTGTTCCTTGCTCAATGGAGAGGAGAAAGAGCAACCATTTGATGCCACAACAAAAATGGCAACCTACTCGTAGTGGGAGTTTTTCTATTTTTACCAACAAATATTTTTGGAGACCTCTCCATTAAGACATTTTATAACGTCGCTTGTGCTTCAGACCCTTCAGACCTTTCCGGGGTGGATGAATCTGATAATTGCGAGCGTGTTGAAAGAGCATTTAAGTAGTACTCAGTCAAAACTTGGTTAAGGATGTGTCTTTCAAGGATGTAAGTGAGTTATCTAATATTGTCATCATATCTTCATCAGTACAATCCTAAACACAAAACGTGAACATCGAGCCAGACTTTCTTTTCGAGCATATGTGTGTAATGTTAATACATAAAGGCCTATGACATAGTCTGAAAACCTCCCATAAAATCTGACAAAAATAATCTTACATAGTGCAGCTTAAATACTATTGGAAATGTACACTAACAATCAGAGTTCCCTTAAAAGAACTCTGTGTGTGACTTTCTGTTCTCTGCAGTGATGCAGGCAACCATGTGGGCCAATCACACTCAGGGGGAAGTCTCAGAGTGATTACAAATTCAAACGACAGTGGTGTCTTAGCCCAAAAGAATGTCTTTTCTGTTTGAAGCATGTTGTCGGCTTCACTCAAAATAAAATCTTGTAACATTAAGTTACATTAAGTTAAGAGCATTTTTCCTTTTCTTGTCAAGTTACCGTTCTGGAGATATAATGTTTGGTTACAACAGTGACTATATGCTACGCAGTCCTTCAGAAAATGATATTCCTGTGCTATAAAACCTGAAATGTTGATAATGTAAGACATACTTAAAAAATGCAATTTAGCAATGACATTTAAAACAAAGATATTTAATGTTTTGAAGCCAAATAATTTCCCAAGGCCACACATCAGCAAGTAAAAAAAAAAGCCTAAGTAGTTTTTCAACCATCTTTAGTCAAATACCAATGTGAGTAACATTTGAAAGCAGCAGGCATTAGCTAAGAGGCTTAGCTGAACTTTCCCGACATTTCTGCTTTTCAGGCTGTTCTGTACATATCTCTCCATTTCAGATGAGATCGGCCTGATCTTTTCAGCGCAGTGAATGAACATGATTACTTTTGAACAGCATTATTTGATGTTTATCTCAGTTTGAATTTGCTCCCCAAATTGTGAGAGACAAGAAAACCTACAGACCGCGAGCAGTGTCAATAACCAGAAGAGCAGTAATTCACACATCCAGCTATTGACATTCATAATGTGGCATGACAGGTAGTGCTCTGTGGCGTGTCTGCTGAATAGCACAGAGTGCAGAGGGCTCTCCCGCTGAAAGGAGGTGAATACCAACCACAGAGGGAGCAGACCCTGAGGAGCGAACACCTGCAAGCTTCCATTATCTGCTCCTGCATCTGGCACATTCAATTCTCACTCCCATCTAGTAGATTCACTTCTTACTCCAAACTGTGCTTGCATGACTGTATCTTTCTATCAGTGGAAACCATGACCATACCTCTATAGGTAAAGGCGTGTGGGACTTGATTCGAGACTGTCACAGACAACGCTTTTAAAAGCTGCCTCTTCTGCTGCTCCACGAGCACAAAACCTTACTACTGTGTTACAGCTGTTTTTGAGCTATGGTTGTAAAAAGGCAACCTTGCATCACGATCTGCAGAGGACAATTCCACTGCATCGACTGTCGAGTGTTAAAATTGACTAGAATTCATTTAAATGATACTGAATAAAGTATGCACTTCTTGGTAAGCAGTACGCCAGCTATGTCTAACATAGCAAGTTATTGTCTAGCTCTAGTTGTCTAGCGTTCAGTCTGTAATCAAAGAATTTGGTGGCCTGTAAAGAAAGGTTTACCTGAAAACTGAAATGTTGTTTTTTATTGAATTGTGGTGTTGTGCCCCTGAACAGAAGATAATAAAAGTTGTGTTTTCTTTTAGTCACTTGTTCAATTCTGAGGAAACCTGTGATCTGGATGTCTGCAGGTATTAACAACAGCATTCCTCACGCCCTAACAGTCAAAACATATATAAGCTGTACTTATCATAGGTCTGATAATCCAAACATTATTTATAGATGTTTTAAGGAACTTACCCTTAAGGGCACTAGTATTCTAGTATGCTCAATTACGCATTTACTCTGAATCGTACAAAAATAACAAAACCAAACTGAATCAAACTGTGGTGAAATCACCCTAGTCATCGGTGACTGAAGTTAGTATCGTTTGGGTAAGAAGTCACAGTGGCAGGCAAGCAACATGTTTTCCACACATCGAAAAAAAGAGCAGCCAATACTGACTAAGAGGATTCCCCTAAACCTCTGCAACATTATCAGCAACCTCACAAAGAAACATGCTTAAACTAGAGAAAGTAAACATGCTTGTGTTTGTGGTCAAAAACATGCTGGCTAACTGTGTTCTTGCTATTTTTTTGGTAGTTTTTGCTACAGTTCAGTGGATTTTGCAGTGTGTTTAACAAAACATGTTTTTTCAGCCTATAAACCAAGTGTTAAAATAATAATATTCCCAGATTATAATGTGTTAAGTTACGCAGCTGTACCAGCTGTAAAAGAAAAAAGAAAATAAACTAAAATGCTGCATTGCACTGCTATAGAGTATTTTAATGACAGACAACATATTAGGGTAGGTATAGGACTTGGACATCAGATTTCAATTTAATTTGGTGCTTTGTAAAAACGGACAGCATGTTTTAAACTGTCCAACTCGATGGCCATCACGATAGATGCAATCTATGGATGATTCACGATACAATAGTCAGTCAGCTGAAGTCCATCATGATGTTGGAGATTTACACCCTTACTGCAAGCATCCCTACAGAGGGATGATTCTTACTTTCACCTGTCGCAAACTCTTGGGAATCCAGAATGCCGGACTCCTGCAGAGATCTGATGCAGGAATCCACAAGCTCCAGGCCGGTGGTGAGCTCTTCTTCTATATCCTTCTGTCCGTCTGCAAAAGCACAAAAGCATAGAACAAGGGGAGGAAATTACACCAGCTCCAGTTTGAAAGGCCATCATCAAAACACAAAGGCGGACCCAAAAAAAAGCAGTGCCCTTTCATGAGTGACGGCTAGACTATGACACTGCGTCTGAGAACGCTGGTCGTGGGGACAAAGCCAAGAGACACAAAGTTTTGAGCCAAGATAAACTAGCCAAAGGTAGAAGTGAAGCAAAAATGCTGCAAATTTCAGACTGCAGCTTACACACAGGTTAACCACAGGCAGTACACAATCATGTGTATGGTGATTATTTTGTGTATACCAGCTCCCATCACTCATTAGTAACTGTAGCTACTTGATTAACGTGCCCCTTCCACTGTACCTGCACAGGAGGCTGAGATTTGAAACAGTCTGGAGTTAACCACCCACCCACTCTGATAAATAATTCATGCACTTTGGCATTCTCCACGTCTCAGCCTCTCCACTCTCCTCTCGCCGTGCTTGATTTTGTGCGGGGCGGAGGGCGTTATCTTTGGCAAACGTTTCTGCCGTAACACAATCAATCAAGTCTGAGGGGCCATATTTCTATTTGACGAGCACAGTTCCGCTGCCACAGGCCCTGACTGATGGTGACAGCTGTCGTGCACTCGGCTCTGAGGAGCAGCTCTTCACTTCCTCATCCACCACGCAGCGTCCGTGAAGCCTCAAATCATTAGTAGCACACTCACTTCAACAACTGTCCGAGACTAAGGTTGTTCACAGCTTTGATTCAGTACAACAAGCATAAACAAAGGATTTCCATGCACTGCTACTGTACCTTGATTGTTCCAGCGAAACTTCTCATCCGCAGAGCTGAAACAAAAAGAGGAAGAGGAGGATAAAGTTGGTGCATCAGGAAAACAAATGACATGGATCATTAACCCTTATAAATCAGTTATATTATACAATTATTTTTATTGCTTTGCTATACATTTGATTACATAATAATTAATATGCAATGTAATATACGTGTCACACAATTACATCATTAATTGGATAGTTATGTACTAAATGACATTTACATTTGATTTTTATTCTTAACAAGGTCTGCACTTCCAAGAAATAATCAAACCAAATTATAAGGGCTACTAAACTCCCAGCAGGGCAGGAGCTGGAAATCACTGTAGTTTTATCTAGAGAGCCATCAACGGAATTTACCATTTAAAAGGTGTATGTGAATGAGAGAACTACAGTCGTGGAATCAGTCATAGCAACAAAAAGCACACAAGCAGCTGGGCTTCAGGGTGGAACTTCCAATGGTTCAAAGGGTCAAACTAGGAAAATGTGTTAACAGCTTTAGAGATATTAGTGATGTTAATAATTTATCACGTTAATGTCTTATTAAAATGTCAACTTTGACACCATTAAAAATTATACACAGAATATGCACTGGCAGGTTCACAAGGTTCCATGTCAAATCAGGAACTGTTCCAGGTAAGGTCATGAGTGAAACAAGTATTTATTTTCTTGTCTTTAGTCATTGCGAATTTCACAACAACGCACATATTTCACAATAAATAAATTATGTTTTATTCACAAAACTGATTATGTACATGAATGGCTCATTACTAATTTGGTACAGGTTGTTTTTTTAATCATAACCTCTCACAGATCAATAAAGGATGTTGGAGCGCCCAAGCAGTGGTAATGATGATTAGGAGGAAAAGAAGGCTTGAGGAGGCTCATACTGCTGATCAATGCTGGGCTATGACGGTGTACAGAAAACACAGCTATGCTATCAGGAGGTTAAATGCTTGCTCACTATCCCCTCAGCCATACTGCAGCTGATAAATCATCCTATTGATTTTGCTCCAATGAGCATGTGTGCGAGGATTCAGGCTGCGAGGTGGTTCGTGATTGCATAGGGATGGCCAGTCATAGCAGAAAACTAAACACCACATGTTAAAAGGGCTGCAGTCTGTCCCTCTCCAAACTCTGGCCATTTGTCTGGAATTCTGCAGCAAACGAAATCCAGACAGTGGCCTCCTGAATGGACAGAGGTGAGCTACGGAGCAATTTCACCAAACGTTAGACTAAGAATGCTGGGTACTTCAAAAATGCTAATGCTACTGATCCAAATACTTCCAAAATTACGATAAAAACTCAATTATTTATGGCCAGTACACTTTTACTCCCCCTTTCATCTATATGTTTTACATTATTTAAAAACACTAGCTACCATTTACATTACTTGTGCCAAAAGTTCACTATGAATGGACCAATAGAAATGGCTGAAAATGACTCCGAATAAAATCTTGTGATTTTTTGTCTAGTTGGGAACATGCTTTCCCTCTCCTGTAAACTCACTTGTACCTACAGCAACGATATATTAAATGTACTTCACCACCCAAACCTGCATTAAGGACCAGCTGTTCTGAGTAAGTCTATATGAGGATCATTAAACTCTTCTGGTTATAGAAATTCTTCCTCTCCCAAGATAATTAACTTGAGAATAATGTCATGATAAATAAGCCCATAGCTGTGAGCCTGCTGAGGGTCAACACATGGTCAACAGTTAATCACTGTTCTTTATAGACCGAATTTCCATAATGACAAAAACACTTACATCTACAGCACTGTGACTTTGATTAGTATTACAAGTGTACAAGTTTCAGTTGACATTTATTATAATTTAGACTAAATTGTCACCTCTCACATTAAGAGGAAGCATAGAAAAAACATGGCTATGAAACTGTCCACAGAAGCAAATGCTTCAAATGTTTTTTTTCTAGCCCATTTTCATGGCAAAATGGATTCCAGAATAAACAAGGTGAGATTAAAATCATAAATACCTTTTGCCTTAATGATTGGATAATTACTATATGAAAGAGACAAACAGCCAAAGCAAATTCCTTTCAAAACAAACAAAAAACAGTAATACCAAAACCCTACTCATTAAAACTAGGGGTGCACAATTAAAACGGGCCAAAATTGGAAATCACCATCATTTTCACTCCAAACAATAACAGGTAACCTGCAATGAATATATTAAAACATTTACTGTGATGTAAAGAGAGCCAAGAGAATGTACTCGGGCTGCATTTGAATGGTGCTGCTACACTTATACCAAAATCCTTCTCAATGTGCTAAACAGCTACCGACGTAGCACTTTATCTGATTTCATGTTATTTAAATAGGCAACTGTTTTTCTTGGAAGAATTTAAAATGGCAGTTTGGTCCATTAAAGAGTGAATAATGTTATTTGTAATGCTACTCTTGCTTAACAGAAAGAACAGGAAATGTTTCATGTGCATTTAGCCCACACAGTGTGAGCTTCGGGTATCTGAAAAACAGATTTTGCCAAAAAAATCACCCATTGGCCAACGTGGCTATGAATAAATCGGAATAGGCGATAATGAAATTCATGATGCATGATTCACGGTGCACCTCTAATTAGAACTGTATTATCTTTTATTAGTAAAGCTTAAGTATTTGGTTGATCTTTGTCATTGATGTGTGTACAAAAGAATGTGTGTGTGTGTGTGTGTGTGTGTGTGTGTGTGTGCGTGTGTGTGTGTGTGCGTGCGTGTGTGTGTCTTCGAATGTGTGCCTTGGAGTGTGAGAGGGAGGAGAAAGAGAAGAATGAAGAGTAAAAAAGAGAGAAGTGTGCTATGACAGGTCAGAGCAAAGCTGAGGCCGGCCTTTGTCCTCTCCTAATGCATGTGAAAGGGAGGGGAGAGGGACGGAGAATGGGTAGAGGGAGGGAGAGAGCAAGAAAGAGAGAGACTGTTTAGGCCCAACACTGCTGGGGGTCACTAGGTGCCTCCCAACAGAAAGAGACAGAGAGACACCAGAAATGAGGAGACCACTTTCTAAAAATAGCCACCGGCCTCCACTGCTGAAACTACTTTCAAGTAAAGGGCTGATGCTGAAAACACAGGTGAGAATGACAAGAATCACTCCAGCTAGTGGACACACACTTGAACATGGCACACTCGAGTGGCAGCTGCATGTTTAGCACGGAGAAGATGGTCTCTGAGGGTCCCGTAGGGGCGAACAGTCCTCTTTTCTCATCTCCTCTGACTGGGCAGTGGAGGAGCTCCACACAGCAGGCACTGGTGCCTAATACAGCAGTGAAAGGGATTCCTATAATGGCAGTAATGAGTGCAGACCAGAGGCATTCATCCATAAAAAAAGAAAAGAGCCAGGACATCCATCGGCCAACATCAGATCAGGAGGAGAGACCACTCCCAGTCTGCACTGCTGCTGTATGTGTGTGAGCTAAATGCAGATACTGGCTTACCAGAAAGCATGCCAGCAGCACAGATAAATCTGACCATTTGATCCACTTAATAATTTGGATTCCGAGAAGCAGGCTGGAGTTTCCTGGATGGGAAACTGCAGTTAGCCAGGGCTCCAAGAATCAAGACAACATTAACTTAAATGCAGGTCAAGATATCAGAGCTGGATCTTCCTTGTGATGAATCTGGCCGTGTTCAGTGAATAAGAGGCAATAAAGTATAAAGCATGAAGGACACAATAAGGTCCTAGTTCAGAAGGAACACATTACAGCTGGGTGAAACTAAGAGCGTGCCGATCATACATTTTTATGGCTGATTCCAGTTTCTCTGCAGCGAAATCGGCGGATGGCTGATTCAGTTTATTTTTATTACAAAAATTGTGGATGTTAGCACATTTTCAGCATTTTAGTAAACTGCCATTTTAAATTCTTAAATGGAAAATTAGCTGCCTATTTAAATAACATGAATCAAATTAAGTGCTACATACATGAAAGTATGAAGTACCTGGATATTTAGTAAAATGTGATCAATTGTGCTACAACATTTTGGTATACGTGTAGCAGCAGCATTCAGAACTTACCTGTCCTATGTTATTTATGCCATAAAACAGCAACACAGATCAGTCAATATCAAAATAATAAATAGAGTCCTGATTTTGATCATTCATCCCTACTAAAAATGATCCTTTCACTTTCAACACTATATATATATATATATATATATATATATATATATATATATATATATATATATAAAATGTATACACACACAACACTAAATTATAAATATAACAATATTTTCTTTTTTTAATTCGAATTATTGATTACATCACCACTCGTGACCCGTGTGATTCTCATCAGACCAAATGTCCCAGTGTAGAAAACTTTTGCTCTACTGGAGCCTAATAGCTTAATAATGCTGTAACAATTCATTGTTTAATCTTTGATAACTAGCTGGTTCCTTCCCTAACATAGGCCAATATCGTCCATCAAGGATTGTGTTACTACTTGCCAATCACACTATACACAATACACTGCCCTGAAGCCCAGCCCTAATACACATTCTAGTCCCAGAGAAATAGAAAGAGAATGAAATAGGGAGAAAGGAAAAGAGCAAGAAGAGTAAAGCAGAAGATAGCAAGAAAATGAGAGAGAATGAGAGCGAGGGAAAACAGCAAGAATGAGAGAAAGAATATTCAGTAATGTGTGAGTGAAGAATAAAGTGCTGAATCATGGCATGCTGTATCAGAGATGAATCTTTAGAGCCTGTCTCAGAGGCAAAGGAAGGTAAGCCTACGGAAGGTTCCACAAAGCAAACTTTTAACTGCTTGGAGGTAATACACCTTACAGCCAGATTTACATTCACACTGTAAATCAGAGCAGGCTCAGTCAACAACGGCCCCCCGGCCACTAGAGTGAACCATCCTTCAGAACAGCGGCTCTAAGTACACTCAGGCACATCATGAAAACAGCATTGGGTTTGTTTGCTTTTGTTGTTAATGGCTCACAGCGAGCTCACAAACTCAAAACACAGTGCAATGCTCCAAGGTCCTTAGTTGTATTCAGGTGTCTT